TTAGGAGTAAATAAGCTTGATCCGCCGCTTCAAAGTGAAACGCTTATTCGAGGAAGACGAGTTTAGCCGACCAAGAAACGGACAGTTGTGCCTCGCTGCTGTGCCCTGCAGTGTTTAGTTTTTAAATGGATTTCATAGCACCGACGATGTGCATGCGTAAATATTTGAATATTGCCCCTTACAGATCGTAACATCGAAGATGAATCAAAACGGCCAGTTCGACGATGAAACACAGACTGCACGAAGTGAGAACTATGAAGTTCCCGATTCGTGCTAATAACATCTATAATGATATTCAAATTAGAATCAATTAGAATCGCCATAGCGTTCACTTCGTGCGGTCTTTCTTTTTCTTTTAACTATCGAATGCGAGCAATCGCTGTGTAACGTACGAAGTATCTGTACTAACGCGTACCCGACATCACCTCTCCATTGGAATTAATGGTAATTATCGATTAGACGATTTTTGGAACGATTCCCCGATGTCCACGGAATTCCGTGCAACGGCGAAGATCTCCGAAGGCGATTTATTCCGCGCGAATCGCTGGGCTCTCGGATGATTTCTGGCATTAAGATACATAGGGAACGTTTTATTCATCCTTGATGTCGTTGACACTGTTTCGACGAAGAAGTGAAAGACACGGAGGACGAGCCAGCACGCCTACTTTTACTTGGAAACAAGTTTGGCGTGCGTCGGCCACCCGATTCCAGCGTACTCGCCTGAAACCCGTTTACTTGTCCGCCGATCATTTTTATACGCGCACGGAGGATGGCCGGTCAAGAGTAGAGAGACAAAGGAAAGAAAACCAGGCACCGCCCGGCTGGCTCTTCTAAGATCGCGAAGGACGTTCGCAGGAAGGTTTCGTAACGGCCTGAAATTCCGCACGCCGTTGGAAATTGTACATTCATGTCGGAATACATATCTCGTGGGGGATATTACGGACGACGATTTCACTTTACGTGATTTTTCTTTGAATATTCTAACGATACGCGACGATTCTTGATGCAATAATTTTTTTTGATAGTTATAGTCAATTGCGAGTTGGTGTTGGTAATAATATTACTATTGGTATTGCTGTTGCTATTGCTGTTGATACTATTTTTGATATTTCTGTTGTTATTGTTGTTGCTACTATTCTTGCTATTTCTATTGTTACTGTTATTGCTATTACTACTGTTAGTGTTATTGCTACTATTCTTGCTATTTATATTAGTTTTATTGCTACTATTGCTGCTATTTCTATTGTTACTGTTAATGCTACTATTCTTGTTATTTATATTACTTTTATTGCTACTATTGCTGCTATTTCTATTGTTATTGTTATTGCTACTATTCTTGATATTTATATTGTTACTGTTATTGCTATTACTACTGTTAGTGTTATTGCTACTATTCTTGCTATTTATATTAGTTTTATTGCTACTATTGCTGCTATTTCTATTGTTACTGTTATTGCTACTATTCTTGCTATTTATATTACTTTTATTGCTACTATTGCTGCTATTTCTATTGTTATTGTTATTGCTACTATTCTTGATATTTGTATTGTTACTGTTATTGCTACTATTCTTGATATTTGTATTAGTTTTATTGCTACTATTGCTGCTATTTCTATTGTTACTGTTATTGCTATTACTACTGTTAGTGTTATTGCTACTATTCTTGATATTTGTATTGTTACTGTTATTGCTACTATTCTTGATATTTCTATTACTGTTATTGCCACTATTCCTGCTATTTTTATTATTACTGTTATTGCTACTATTCCTGCTATTTCTATTGTTACTGCTACTACTACTGCTACTGCTAGTGCTAGTGCTAGTGCTACTGCTACTGCTACTGCTCATGCCACCACTACCGCTACTGTCACTGCCACTGCTAACAATAATACCATCAATAACATGCAACACTATATTTACTAGCTCTTAACACGTCCCGTGCCACGGAAACTTCGGTTATCTCTCACTTATCAACTGTATTGATTTTTTCAATATAATAATAAATTATATTCAAACTTTTGGTAATTTTTACATATTTCGATATCGTTTCTTTGTCTTCACTACTTTGTAACGTATACCGTTACCATGTGTCCATTTAAAATATTTTCTTACAAAATTCGGCGTACCATATGTGGTACACGTGGCACTAACCGTGTTAAATTATAAAATACAAATCTACCAACGACAATACGAACGCATTTCACTTCGATGGTTCTAATGATTCATATATAGCTCATTAATTAACGATTCGATGTACAGGTCGACCGTTTAACGATTCCATCATCGCGACAGCGATATTTCTCTCAAACCGGTGTCCAATTCGAAAATCATCCGTACGGTTGGCAACGAGCGAGCACCCATCGGTCATCGTCTAGTTTCGCGTTTCTAGGTTCTAAGCATTGCACCGGCTAATGAAAGTGCGAATAGAAACGCGGCGACCTCGGCTCACTTTCCTCTTGACGCTCGAGAGCTTCGAATGCAGCTCGTGTAGTACGTACTTACCGTCCGCGTGCAGTTTCGAAAATGGCCGAACGAATCGAGCCGCGCGCCGATGCATCGCTCTCGCCGAAATAAAACTAATGTCCGCCGGACGCGACACGTTTTTCGTACGGTGAAAGCAGACGGGACGCCTTTTACGCAACACGCGCGGTGACATAACGCGCCGATGATCTAACTTTCTACCGCGCGTGTTTAGAAACCGAACGGCCCCGAAATAGTTTTGGCAATCGGTTTTATCCTTTACGATTCTGGGTAAAGGGGACTGGGTGTCTCTCATAGAGCAACGCCATCATTTCTCGAAGAAATTAAGAATTTGGAAGAAAAAGGAAAGAATTTGGTGCTTATTCTATGTCTACGTTTATTTCAAAGACTGAAGATTGATAATAGACCAGAGATATTTGTTGCTTCATCCTTAATCATTTAGTAGAAACAGAAAAGAATTTGATGCTTATTCTATGTCTACGTTTATTTCAAAGACTAAAGATCGATAATAGACTAGAAATAGTTCATTCACATCGATAACAAACAAACAACATTTGAATTTCTTTAATTCAATCCTAAATTTTCACTCAAATAGTTTTGGCAATCGGTTTTATCCTTTAGGATGCTGGGTAAAGGGGACTGGGAGTCTCATAGAGCAACGCCATCACTTTTCGACGAACGTGTTCGATCAATCCAATTGGCGCTAGAGAAATCCGATTATAACAATTATAACAATTGTAATTTGTCAGACAACTGACGTTGAATGACAATGTTCAATGGCGTATATAAATAGATAACAATCTAACCTAATGATCGCAATGCCAAAAGAGAAATGAACGTTCCTTTCTATCTTTGCTACGAAACATAAAACTCTGAAGTTTTTCGTGGCAGTCAACGTGTTAATTCATTACCAATGAATAGTCGAAACTGTATTTCAATTTTTGAAAACGAGCATAGTTTCAAGGTGTTTTAACACTAACACTACCGAACAGTTGAATTGACTTTTCTAAAATTCTCTATAGAAACTCGAAAAGTGCGTACATTGTGACTTCAATTGATTTACAATTCTGTTTGCGTATTGCTAAATCAATTTCGCTAGTAATCTCTCAGAGACACTTGTTATTTTTTTAATAATCATAAAAGGAAGAAATCAAGAATAGGTCATTTTGACCCGTCTGGTAGTTTTAGTGTTAACTATCTCGACGTTGGAGAGACGAATGCGGAAATCGTTGCAAACATAGATAATATTGATATAATGTTAATTATTGTATTACGCGTGATTTTTCTTTGTATCACCTTTGTATATCGTTAACATTCCATTAGATAGCGATGCATATTTCTAATAATCAAACCTATCAACTACAATTAAATCGTTCGAGTGCTACTTACGTATCGGTTCGGAAACTGAATTATTATTTTCTACTTTGACACACAAAAATTGTAAATAATAAAATTGTAATGACAAAAATAAAAATAAATAACTAGAAAAGCTAGCACTTTTAGACAGTCTAACGGAGAACCGCGATTGCGCCGCTCGGAGCTCAAAGGGTTGAATCTCGTAGCCACAGATCGAAGTGAACGAAAAACAATTTTATAAAATAGAACGGCTGTAACTAAAATCCAGTATCCTCTGTTGATCCGTCGTCGACGTAAAATCGTGTTTGTTCACACTGCTCGGAGGAACGTAGTTCCAAGGTAGCTGACTTCGAATGATTCTCCGACAGAGCCTCGCAATCTCTTTTAATAGCAATCGGCGTTAAATCTATTTTTTATCTTGCACCGCGCGGTTAGGAGGCAACAATGTAGCCGCATACGTTGATGATCCGTCACGCCTCGTTACGATCATCTGTCGAGATACCGTACAAAGTGAGGCAGCTCTCCGTCAGGCCATGACTGCTTTTCGTTATCTAAAGAAAACTCGCGTCACCTGTAATACCATATCCACTGAATGACACAATCCCCCATCGAACGCCAACCACCCCTTGTCATCGCGGGCAAGCCTATCCCATCATCCCCTATGGACTCTACTGACCTTGACTGACCAACACTGAATTCGTTTTCATCAAAAGCAGTGTTAACCCTTGGCGGGCGAAGATGCTTTGAAATATGCAAAACCTTCAGCACACGAAGCTGAATTATACATCAAACGCTTAATTGATATAAAAAAAGGAAACTTCGCGATGATCTCTTGCTGTTCGAGTAACTAAATCGTTTGTCTACAACTCAGTCTTCCAAATACGAAAATTTCATCTCGGAATGTCGACAGTCGTCCGCAAAGGGTTAATAATTGCAAAAAGAAATCAGAAGTGGGTCGTTTCGATCCGCCTGGTAGGTTTAGTGTTAAAAACCTCCGGTTAATGTCTTGGTCTCCTTCCTCGTTCCTATGTCAACTGCGGCGCGTGTTGGTTCGGGAAGTGAGATGACATGTGCGCAAAAGTCCCGTCACACTGTAGAGGCACCTTTATTCGTGGCACGTCCAATGCACAGATGTATCCACTTTCGATGGCTCTGAATACCAAATGGATTTCGTCGTATCTGATCGCGGGATCACCCACACGCCGTACGTGCTACGCGCGCGGGCTTGTTTTACAAATCCCCTGGTCGTCAGCTGCCACTGGGCATCATTGCTGAAAACGTCCAGCGCGATGATTCATGCGACCGTAATTGCCATTGCATCGATTCGAAACGGGAGCGATGGGAATATCGCGTTAACTCCTGACAAGCTGGTATACTTTCTTACGCGAAATAGAATTCAATAAGGGCACCTTTTTGATCAGAACACGCCATTTTGATGAGACTTATGTGAAATATTATTTTTTTTTCTCTTATCAGCGAACAGCCAACGGGGCGACAAGTTCAGGGTTGAAAGTATACTTGATAATTTCTGTGAAACGGGAGCGTAGAGAATAAATTCTTTTTCAGCTGTTCGTTTCGAAATGGATAATTTAGATTTCTTTTGTATGCACCGTAGTTTCAGGAATGTGTAAAATATATACTCAGTTCTCAACTTTGAGGAGTCCTTTCATCCTTTCAAAGTGGATATTAGCTGATAAAGTACGTGTCGGATATTTTCTTGAAAACTACGTCTCACATAAGTTTTTAAAATCGACGTGTGCTGGTTAAAAGAGCCCCATATAAGTTACCAGTTCCCTTGTAAGGAAACAATAGAAATACCATTAACTCCTCGCAACAATATACTTTTCCATTGGAACTGAAAAATAGAAATAAGTTTCCACGTTTTTTCTTCCAGAATTATTCAAATAACAAGAAGAATCGCTTTAGAAAACTTTACTAAGCCGATGGTAGTCTTCAACGCTAGAACCACCGGACGGATCAAAATGATCTATTCCTGATTCCTTTTCGCGATTACTACAAGCTTTTTTGGGAAGCTATTAAAGAAAGTAGCTTGGAAATACGCAAACTGAATTATGAATCACTGAAAGTCCCAATAGATGCACTCGTAAAGTTTCTATAGAGGAATTTCGAAAAGTCTGTTTCAGTGTTCTGAATCCAACGTGCAACGAAATGTTTTCTCTATGTAAGATCGAGAGATAAAAATCTGTCGAGTAGAATACAGAAAATACGATTATTCGATCCTCTTTCTCAGCTCCTTCGCGATCTAATTATCCTAGTCGACGATGTTCGTGTGACGTATTGAAAATTTTCGGGACAAATTCCACGTTCAGCCCATGACGCAGCCATAGAGCATAGACCAAGGTTACTCCATAGACAAAGGTTACTCCCCAAAAGTAGTATATAAGGAACCCGAATTTATAGCGAAACTATTTTCTACATCTTTTTCCCGCGGAACAAGCGTGAAATAGTATATACAATCAAATCTATTCTTGTGCGGTAGATAGGGACCGCATAAAAGAAACCGCACGAAAAGAAATGTTCAGAAATTTACGAAATAGCGAGAAAGTGCTTTCAAACAGAATAAATAGTTCAATTACACATGGAATCATTTAAAAAGAATTTAATCTCTCATACATGGAGAAATGTTCACAACGCACGTAATTCACTGCTACTCGTAGTCCAAAACGCGCATCTTCTTGTGATGAACTGGTTCAAAGTCGCTTTCGTCACTTGAAAAACAACAGCACCGTTGGAATTCATATACCGCATAAAAGAAATCGCGCAAAAATAGGTTTGACTGTATTATACGTGACATTTGCGTCGAGTTCGAGCTACCGATCAATTTCCCATAGATCCCTCGATCGAAAGGAATCAGGAGAAAGCTGTCGGAGAACAGCGGCGCGTGTTTGCTTGCTTTACACATTGGAAGTTCTTTTTTTAGAGGTCGTCGAGGCGAGGCTGCAAACGCTCCTCAAAGATGGGCCAAACACTTTCATGGACTTTAAGTGGCTGCGGCCGGAATTGCCTGCCTTCTTCGACGAGAAGAGGTTCCTCCTCGGCCAGCGGATGTTTTACAATAATGTTTTCACGATGATGATTGCCAAACTTTCGGGCCTGTTATCCTTGTTCGCGGTACCGTCGATCAGGAACGTTTTAATGTTCACCAGACAGAGCGGCACGCCGTGCGCCGCGTTTCATAGATACGTGGCCACCATCTTTCACACGTGGGTCTGGTACGGGAAGAGACCTGGAACAGCGCACGAGTAAGTAAATCGAGAAAAATAGAATTTTTAAACGTTAATCCTCCTGTTTATCGAACAAAGTATCCGGGACACTGCAGTGAAATTGAAAAAAACGATGCCTTTACTTCATTCGAAGAACTAGACCTTCAACCCCTTGCCCTATGATTTATTTTTCAACGATAATAATTATTGAAAACAGAGAAGAATTCTAAGCATATTCTATGTCTACGTTTGCCCTGCAATGGAATCGTTGATAACAGAAGAATAAGATTTAATTATAATTCAAAGTAATCGAGTAATCTTCATGTTTGTTGAATTCTATTTAAAATTTTCGCTACGAGTCTCACGCGTTACTGTAAGGTAAGGGGTTGACACTGTTACCATCGAATTTTCGAATTCCTTATAAGAACTAAAAGAGTACATTCCTTAAGATTCGAGGAACCTGTTATGCACCCGTAATTCGATAATTTCTCACAGAAGCATTCTGATGATGTTAGCAATTGTAGAATAGAGATTTTCGAACACATCGACCCGTCTGGTAGCTCTAGTGTCAAAGAAATTTACGTGTACGCGAATAGAGGCTGCTCGATTATTGTATATCAATGTTAACGTTGAGATATCAGGAGTTCTTTTCTTCGATTTATTTAGCAGTCGATCGTAAACTGTTTGGAGATGAAGCTTGTGTAACATCCTCGAGTATTTTCGCAGAGAAACGAATGAATGTTTCTTTTTCTTGAAAATGGGACGTCGTGCGTGTTATCCTTTGTTATTAATAACAAATACACCGTGATTTCCCGATTATTTCCTCTGTCCAACGGATTCACGATATTTCGAGGAAGTCTTCGATCGTTCGTTTCGTCGGGCCGAGGTAAAAGTGCGGCGGAAAGCGAAGACGGGGCTCGGCGAAATGTCCTGCGTGACGGAAATACACGGTTGAGGAGGATCGATGGATCATTGGCATTCGGGGAATCGTCGGGCGCGTGCAGCTTCGGTATTTTAATCGATTTATCTTTGCTGAATACATTCCCGGGTTCACGCACCACTGAATAAATATTATTCCGAGTCTGGGAAATCCCGAATGGCCGCGGCTCGCGCGAGATCCGCGATCACTTCGCCGAAGAAGCTTTCCTCCGCCGGTGGAATCAACAGGAAGCTGGTAATGTTCCGTCGAAAATGAAACGCCGTCGATGCGTCTCTTTCTTCGCGAAACTTGCGACGAATAACGTTCGCTTCAAGATGAAAAACGTTCTACGGATGAAACGTTGGTTTGCAGTTCAATCGATCTTCAAGCTTATTAACACTACAGCTACCAGACAAGTCAGAATGACCTATTCCTGATTTCTTCTTTTACAATCATTTAGGAGATACAAGCGTTGAGGGGAATCACGTTGATGTGCGAACTAAAATATAAGCCGATGAAAATCTCAATAAATACACAAGGGAAGTTGATTTGACTGCTTTGTAGTTCTGTTTTTCGGTAGACTTTTCGATTGCGAGTGCTTAACAAACGGTGATCTATGAAATTTGCGTTGATTTGTGGTTTCGTTTGAACCCTTTGCGGACGAATGTTGTTGCGACGAGATGAAACGTTTATATTTGAAAGACTAAGTCGCGGACAACTGATTTAATTACTCGGACAGCAAGAGATTAGCATGTAGTTTCTGTTTGTGCTATTATTTAAGCAATTATTATAGAATTTAGCTTCATCCGTTGAAGGTTTCGTACATTTCAGAGAATCTTCGTCAGCAAAGGGTTAGAGGTACAAAGTTTTGCAACTGAGAACGTACGTTAATTAGGAGCGGTAGACAAAGTGTTCTTAAATGGAATACGAATAAGATATATTGAACAGAATACTTAATTCAATGAAAGCGCGTTTTTATTCATCATTTCAATCCGACTTTCGAAAGAATGGCACGTATAACGGCACGATAAAGATCGAAGGAAACGGCTCCTCGAGAACGCTGATATCTTAGCAAAACCGAGATTGATCGTTCCAGTCGATAATTGAATATCATTTCATTAATTCGTATTAAATAACAATCTCGTTTCATCGGGAGAAAATTGATTTCTTAGCAGACAACGATCTTTGGTAATTATTGCCAAACGATGAGATACAATGAAAACTTCGTTAACCCCTTGTCCTATGATCGTTCTCGCAACTGTGCTTGATAAAATTGCCTCATCTTTAATAATTTAGTAGAAACAGAAAAGAATTTGATGCTTATTCTATGTCTACGTTTATTTCAAAGACTAAAGATCGATAATAGGCCAGTAATGTTTCATTCACATCGAAAACAAACAAACAACATTTGAATTTCTTTAATTCAATCCAAAATTTTCATCACCAGTCTAACAAGATGTTACAAGCGAAAGGGTTAAAAGCGAACGAACGAATAAATGAAATTTTCATTCAAGAGAAGTAATCTTCTGCTTATTCCTTCGAGTTTTTATTGAACCGTTTCCTTTTCTCGCAGGTTCCTCGACTCATTGAAGATCGTCCGGAAAAAACACTGCGTGGCGTTTCGCAGAACCTCGGAGGCGGGTCTCAGCCGTGTCACGCAACTGGATATGGCGTTGGCTCAGTTCGGATTCATGGGATTCACCCTTCTGGCCGGCGACTATCTTGGGGTGAACAGCAGTTCCGAGGAACTCGACGGACTGATTCACTTCTGGCACGTCGTCGGCAGCATGCTCGGAATGGAAGACAAGTCCGTAGCAAGAAAAAGTTAATTTTGGTACCCTCCGTCCATTGTCCATTCCGTTTATTATTGGACCGACGACAATGGCGTCTGGACCGCGGATAACTCCGCGGACGCGAATTTTCGTTGATCGCCTTTCTCGATACTGGAATCGGCGCAGAAACTGCCTCATCGTGGACTCGTAACGTAATAAAATCTTCGAAATGCTTCCATGAATTCGAAAAATTCAATCGTTTCTTTTTCTACTTTCTCACCAGCTTTTGGAGCTTCTCACGTGCTTTGGATCTCACGTACTAGACTCGTGAAGATTTTCAACATGATTCAACAAATATATATATTACTCAGTTCATTCGAATTCAAAGTAAACATTCCTCTGTAATCAAGTATTATACTTAAAAGGAAATATAGGCGTAATGTATGCTTAGAATTCTTCTCTTTTTCCAATAAATTATTAACGACAAGGTAGTTCTATCGGTCAGAGTTGAGAAAGAAATCATAGGCCAAGGGGTTAAATATTGGGAACGTCATTGGAGAGATTAACCTACGTTGGAACAGTGCAAAGCGTTGAAATAATCGCTGCACGAACATTCCGTGACAATTTTATACTGTTCTTGGTCTATAGTAGTAGAATTTAGTCTTGCGTAGTGTTTCTCTTTTTATTATTCGGAAGCTCCGTCGTGCTTCGCGAGAAGATCGGTTCGTCGTGAAGGATTACGGATCTCTTGGACGAAATTGTCCTCGTACGCGCGGATCGTTACTCTCCGAGCAACCTAATACGTTACGAGACATCATAAACTGGGATTCTTGGACACAGGAATATATACACGTCTGTCGTGGCCATGGGTTATTTCGATAGTTAGCACGCAGCCTGATTTCCAGGAACCGCGGGCAAATGTTCACAAAGGAAAATCGGGAAATGGGACGTTTTGTGCGCGTGACGTTGGACAATTCTTCGAAAGAACTCTCGTATTCGACGTCTCAAAAAGAAACTCTCATTCTCAGTGTATAATTTCAAAATTTCGTGCATCAATGTCGCCGACAACTCGATTCGAAACGATGATTTCCTCTGATTCCGGACGTCACGGCAAACGTCGAACTTTATGAGCGCATTTGCGGAAGTTAAGCTCGAAAAATTTGTTTAGTCTGTTCGGATGTTTTCCCAGGTCCCAAATGAAATAACAACTCCCATCGAGTCTTATTAAATCTCGAACTAAAGTTGAAGAAATAATGAACTTCATTTCTCGCAGATACAACCTTTGCACCGGAAACATCGAAGAGACCCGCGCTCTTTGCAGACGCGTACTGGACGAGGTTTTCCTCCCGTGTCTCGCCACCGAGAACAAAGATTTCGACAAGATGGGCCGAACCATGCTCGAGGGTCTCTGGCCGGTGAACCCGTTCATAGATCCAAACGCGTTCATCGCGTTCACGCTCACATTGGCGTCCTCGAGCGCCACGAACAACAATCATTCGTTGAAAATAGGTAATCAGGAACTGTGCACACAGTTGTATAATTCCATTTAAAATATGCAATGACTACAATTTAATCATAATGCGATAACAATGTACACTTGACCCTCGATTTACGCGGACTAAATGTAAAATGGAACACTATTTGCGCGGTAGTTTTTCACGCAATTTGAATTTAGTAACAGCGAATAAGATATACTTTTGTCTTCTAAAATGTCGTTGTTATTATCTCTTTTGTTAAACTATGTGAAATAATGTATTTCTAAAACTTATACCAGCTTTTCTCTTCAGTATTTCGTTTTCTCTTGTACCGACGGGCTCTATTTACGTTCGCATAAAACGAACCTACGTGGAACGGATTTTCGCGTAAATCAGGGGTCAAGTGTAATTATGATATAAGCACAGTGTAATAATAATATAATTACAAGATACAATGACCTGCACATAATCTAAAGACGAAAAATCGTTTTCAGACACGTCACACCTGTCCTGGTACGCAAGATTAATCTTGAATATGCAATTAATGGTGCACAAATACCTGTTGCCGCCCACGTACTGGTGGTCCTTTCTGTTCCGAGCGTATCTGAACAGTCAGATGCGACTGGTCGTCTACTTAACGAAGCATCTGCCGTTTTTGGCGTTCTGGAGTTACGGTATAAAGAACTCTTACGTGGACATATACAAATACCGAGTGATTTGAGCCTCGAAATCACGCGAAGCGTCGTCGCGTCGTTCTCAGTTATGGTCGCGGTTGTTCCATTCATCGGGACCGCGCGAGAAATGCTTGCGCAAACATGGCGGTCACGTTCCAATGGCACACGGAAGAAAGGACGTGGGAATTGTTTCGGTTGACAGAGAAATTTAACACGTTTCTTGCCTGTTCCGTTGGTGTTACGTTCATTTGTTACGTTTGTTTGTTACGTTTACGGAGTAAAACGCTTAATTTAGGGCAGGCCTGTCCGACAGACCTTTTCGCGGGCGAAAGCAGCTTCGGTGGCTCATAGGCAGAACTTTAGAGGAACTACACTTGTTTTGGTGTCTGCGCGTTAAGATTTTAACATACTGATTGCCACGAAAACCTTCGGAGTTTCGTGTATTGATTATTCTTTTGTAGCAAAGATAAAGAACAGCAGTTATTTATTAATTGGTATCGAAATGCTTACGTCAGACCGTCATCCAATTATTCACGCTATTAAACATTCTCATTCGACATTAGGTATCTGACAAATTAACATTGTTTTCAAGCGATTTGAATGCTCCGGTCATCGGTGACCACCGTGGCAGTCAACGTGTTAACACGTTAACCACGTCAGTCACCGATGACTGACGCTTCTGAGTTACTTGGAAACAATCGTAACATGCAAGATAACCGATGTCGAATGAAAATGTTTAATAACGTAACGAAGTTGAGAATAATGTACTGCAACGATTGCAATGGCAAATAATTAATAATTGTTCCTACTTTTCTTCGCTACAACAGAATAACTCTATGAAAAAACAGTTAAGATTTTCGTGGCGCTTAGCGTGTTAAGACAAGGGATCAGTATTCATACTTACAAAGTATTATGCAAAACAGCCACCTTTGCCTGCAATGGGGTTACGGTTAGTAAAGTAGCTGGACAAGCCTGATTTAGGGGATAAGGATCGACGACGTTTTGTTCGTACTTCAGTACCTGCGAGGATCATCGAACCGTTAATGCGTGGAAACCGGCGTAGCGTTTAAGTGAACCATTGTCGAAAAGATTCGGGATCGACGAGAAACGGATGAAAGACTTTTTACTTCATTCGTACTCGACGGATGATGTTCGAGCTATTATGGAGTCAAGGAGAATGGGAGCTGTATATTATTCTATATTTAACGTCTCGGCTCGGGGGACAGGCAAAATGGCGAAAGTACGAGTCTCGACCGAGAAATGAGTTGCTCTTGAAATACTATTCCCATCGAGCTCAACAAATACAATTCGTCATCTCCGTTTTAATTTTCAGTTTCCTTCATACAATCGATTCCGAGTTTTCGCTAATTACTTTGTAATATCCGCGGAAACATTGTACAGTACGGCGAGCTCTAGAATTCAGCGTGCTACGGTCAAGCGAGCGCATCATGTACATAAACTGTTCTCCCGACAATAAATTATTAATCGTACACGCTCTCTTTATTCGACAAGTCTCTAGTGAACTTGGTTTTAGAGGAAAGACAACGACCCATCGTCGGCGCGGCGTTCACGTCGTTCACCGAGGGCCGAACCTTAAAACCGCGAGAACGATCGAATAAAAAAAAAAGGCGTACAATTTCCACAAGAGGCTGCATTATCTCTCGCGCCATGGCGTCTGGTGAGTGTACCGCCGACAGGGAAATCCGGAAGATTGGTCGAACGGGTATCGTAAACCTGTTCACGAACTCTTTCGCGCGTTCAGCACGGACGTTTACATTATCCGCGAACCGGCTGCTCCGCGCAACTGGAGATCGTTCGAATAAAACGATTTCAAAACGGCCGTTCGCGCAATAAACGATCCGGCCTGACGAAAGGCATTCTCAAATGATGACACGGCCGGCTAGTTAAATTTAAAAAATGATCCACTCCCCCGCTCTCTCGCCGTCGACGAGATTTCTCTCGTCTCGCCCCGTAGCTGAACAGTTCGAAGAATTCTGCCAATTCCCGGCGTTGCGATGTCACGATATCAGCGGTATTCGATGCAAACCGGATTATGTTCGATATAAATTAGTCCTTCGTGAAGATTAATCGTCGCGGATACTCGTCCGCATGCCGCGTCTGAAACTATTCGAATACCAAGTCCGATTCGGCCGACGAGAACGTTCGTAGGTTTAATTAAAAGATCGTCGTTAACCGAATTATAAGGTCGGCGTCTCAAACGAATCGAACGACCGTCGCAGAAGCTTTGCATGCAGGGGCAATTAACCTTGGATTCTACATGCGACATCGTGACAACCCGATAAACATCGGGACACATGTATTCCGCGACGTAAAGCAACGCTGCGACGCGAATAACGCGCGAACAATATGGCTCGGTGAATCGAGTTCCCTTTTTTGCTTCCTGTTCCTTTTTTTTTAACGAGCGAACCGCCGCGCCGCTAATGGAATCGTGCGTAGAAAGCACCAATGCCTCGTCCACCACAATTACGGTCACGAGGTAACGACGCAATTGCGGCTCAGCCTCGGGAAAAATATGTTTTTCCTCCGTTTCCAACGTCCGGTCGAAATTGTTCCCAATGGACGCGCGTCACGCTGCCACGTTCCGCCATCTTGTTCCCCTCCGACTGTTAAATCGGATAGCGAACAGTACACGTCGAGAAGATAATTTCTTAATCTTGGAATATTTGAAATATCTACAACGGAATCTAACGACGAAACGAAAAGGAGAGTTTCAACCCGTGGATTAAAATAAAATATTTGATAGTGGAAAACTTGAATGGATAATTAAAAACAGAAATTGAACTGAACGACACTTCCACAGTGTGTAGGCCTAACGTTAATGTCGAGTAACTTCCTAACGTTCGAATTTCACAGATTATAAGACATTTTTCAATAAAACGAACGATGAACTGAAAAATTCAGATAAATGATTAACACGTTCACTACCGTTTGTTTCAGTGACGATCTTTTCAATTATAATATTTTATCCAATTCGATGAATCTGAACAAACTACTGAAACAAATTAAACTAAAACGAGTCATTGAATCCCTAAATGTAATTTCGTAGCTTATAACTTTAACTAACTATAACTATAGGATTAATTCCATTTTCCTTGTATAAAATGTAGGATTGCAGCCGTCACGTGTTAAAAGTAAGAAATTAGAAGATAAAAGCTTCGGCAGTATACACGGCTAACGTAATTCTTGCCGAACGAGTTTCTAATGTTCGAATTCGACCGCTCAGAAGATATTTTCAGGTGAAACGACCCGGGAGCAGGTAGCACGATCACCGACGCCGAATAACCGTTGAATGTCGAGCAACGGGAGCAGCCGGAGGAGTAACGTGGTATTCAAAAGGAAGGAAAGGTTACCCTGCAACTGTGGATGGGAGGTGAGATTCGGTTACGGTGTCGCGGTCACGCTGGCCATCTTCGAGGCTAAACGATTCTTCATGTTGGTCCTGGAGATATTCGCCGAATGGCAGATCATTCGGTTCGCGGGCGGCTTAAGACCCGTCATACTCACCTTGGTGAACGTCAGCATGGGTCTGCCGACTGCTTTAATCACCGTTCGCACCATACGCGCGTGAGTACCCATCCGAAACGATCGTTCGATATTTCATTGAAAAACGAGGCATTTACAACAGCCAAAAGCACCGACGAAAATATTCAGCGAACAACAAAGTTTATCCCTAATCGAAAATATAGACCGAATATTTTCAGTTGTTTTCGCGTCGTTCTCCTATATCAAGCGCGCCAATAAATAATTCACCGTTCTCACGGAATTTCGCGTTTATTCCGAGACATCTCGATGGTCTCGCGAAGAAGAGGAACGCGCGTTATTTGTCTCGTTTTATCCTGCGCTATTTTTACTGTACAGGGAATCGGTAACGGATTCTGCGCTCTTCGCTGCCTCGCGACGTTCTTGAAACCGTGGCGGATTGTTTATTTGTGCACACTTACTATGTACTTACTTCCTCGTTAAGTTTCATCAACTGTTCAGACGGAAGGTGCCGCGGTGCTGCGCGGTGGCCAGACGGGCGCTGAGATGCTTGCTGATAGCAATTGCGATCTGCGCAATAATGAACGCGGCGACGTTAGCCTCTATCGGGTATCACATTAGCGTCAGGCGGGAGACGTTGATCGGCATTTTCAACGATTCGATGCGGCTGTACGTGTCCGCCGCGTCGTACAAGTACGCGATCGACGAGATACAGTTCATCTTCCAGTGCTGCGGCCACACCTCCTACGCAGATTGGTTCCGCTTTGACTGGCAGGTGAATCCACGATTCAGCAAGGGTAACCCGCAACACGGTACAAAACACGTGAAAATGGAAGAACCCTTCTGGCTTGCGCGGTTTGCCCGGCGAAGTCTTGCGGAATGATCGTTTTTATACTAAAAGCTTGGGTCTTCTTGCTTGTCGACGACAGGGTGAATCGGATCGACACGAAAATCCAGTTTACATTTGTTTCATCGCAAATCATATCTTTCTGTCGTTCCTTATTTGCAAGAGGAAAATTAAAAAGTCATTTTTATTTTGTATTATTAACCCTTAACGGCCGAAAGCCCTCGCTACGGGGACGTAGAGAGAAATTTAGTTTTCATTTCATTTATTTATCATTATTGTAGTTTTCTTTATCGAATATTGCAACTTATTACATCATTGGTCTGTTGATCACGCACTGACAAAAAATATTTACCGTAATATAACGTCTTATGGGCGGGTATTATAAAACAACTCTCGGCCGTTAAGAGTTAATGTTTCACTGCCTGAGTGTCAAACAGAAAGTGAGTCTATATGATGGTATTTAAAAGCTGTGTTTTAAGTCAACTTCTCTTCCGCAACACTAAAGGAACGGTCAAATGGTCGGTTTTAAAGTTTGAGTTAAAATTCTCCGTTTGTCTTCGTTCATTTCAAGATGAAATCAATTCTATATTATCCGATTGATCAGTTTCCCAATGTTTGTCCTTCCTTCTGTTTCTGTTTCCAATAAGGAACATTTACTTTATTTTATAACTAGTTAATCAACTAGTTACAGTAGGCGTAGGTATATACAAAGTACCAGTACGTTCAATGTTAAAATTTGACAGTCGATTCGATCGTTCCGTGAACTTCCCGGGCGAACGGCGCGAAACGTTTCAAAAAACGTGTTGCTCGGTTAGGGCGTGGATTACGCGTCGCGCGAGGAAATGGCGGTGCAAAACCGGATATCCGACGAAGAGTACCGGGACCGTGGCGTCCCGTTCAGCTGTTGCGACTTGCGCGCGATGGCGCCGTGCAGGCACACGGAGATCCAAAAGGACGACGTGGAGACGATCAACGCGAACGGATGCGCCGGGGTTGTCAGCCCTGTGCTTCTTAGGATCGTGATCGTCGCCTATGTTATGACGAGCACGCTCGTGATCATTCAGATCTTCTTGGCCTTTCTGCTTACGAAGGTAAACGTTACACATTAACCCTTTGCACTCGCGGGCTACTCTCAGTCACCGCACGATTTGATGTTGGAAAGTCATAAAGTTCGATATTTAATATTAAGCTTCGTATGTTGCATGAAAATATAAAATATAAACAGCTTCGTTCCTTAACACGTTCAATGCCACATATGGTACACGTTAATTTTTGTAGCAAAATATTTTTAAAGGACACATGGTCAAGAATAGCTGTATACGTTACAAAGCACCGAAAACATCAAGAAACGATATCAATATATATAAAATTAAAAAAAAACTTGAATATGACGTAATATTTTATTTAAAAAATCAATACAGTTCATAAGCAAAATATGACCGAAATTTCCGTGGCATGGATCGTGTTAACCTTCTATAGGTAGAATCTTTTCCCGCGAATATAAAAGAATCTGTATAATGTAAAATGGACAAATATCAAGCTGTAGATACGAATTAACGATGTATTCAATAGTTTTAATGATTATATTAAATTTAATAATTATAGAGTATAAAAGTTTAAGTCAATTAATTCATTTTATTCACCACTTAGTAAAATAAAATAAATCAACAAGATGCCAATATATTGATGACTTTAATCCTTCGACTCTCAGTCACCATTTTATTTGATATAACAAAGTTCAAGGTGTTATATATAGTATTAAATTTCGTGTAATGCATCAGTATGTGAAACATTTACATAAAACAGCTTTGTTTCTTAATTTACGTATGTTTTCTCATCTTTCTCGTCGGAAAGCGTCGAATGTTTCTAGTGGAAAGCTTCCGAGTGCAAAGGGTTAAAGTCACACGGACCTATAAATTCATTCAGTTTCTAAGCTGAAACGAAAGTCTCAGCATTTTTCGACCGAATTGTTGGGAAAACCCGTGGCACTCGAACGATTAAAGATTTTCGTAACATCGCGCGATCGTTTCCATTAATTCCTATCTCTCGTCGTTTCAGATCATTCGCGGTCTGTCGTACGGACCGTGCCGGCTGTATCGTCCCCCGGAGGCGTTCTCCAACGAGTCCAGCAGCCTGTCGTTGAACAGCACATGGTACATAACAGGACCGAGTTCGCAAACAAACCGCGTCGCGAGAATAGATGTCCCAATAAATCAATCGGGGCTCGGCGTTTTCAATTAAACTCGAATTTCAATGTAAGGGTCGACGATAAGGCGACGTGAGGTCGCCGAGCAACCGATTAGGCCTGCCGCGGTCCCAGTCTCGTCTCGTGCGAGGATACTCGATGTCTAACGGGACGATGCAGGGACCAGCGGAGTCATTCGCTGACTGCTTTGTTTACAGTTTTGATCATTCACACGTAACCGTATCGACGAGCAGCGAATTGAACCGTTTATTTTGAAAGTGGCTGTAATAGATTTCCCAAAAGGATCAAGTTAATCGTTATATTAATTACAATTCCACATAATCATTTTACTCTTTAATAGTTTTTTAATCTTCCTTAAGTGGACTTAAGTCACTTTCTAAATAAACGGTTCAATTAGCATGGCAGATAATATCAGAACATTCTTCAGCCTAGCCATTAGGTGATCAGCTAACGGTACACTTGAGCGGCGCTTACGTTAGTGGGAACCTCGCTTATCCGAACCAGTGATGTATGAACTCCTAACTGAACCTCTATTATCCGAAGTTGCTTAACCACGTAGTTCGGTAGCGTACATAAAAGCTAAGTGTATTAATACGTTCCCAGAAAAATATTAATCGATAATAGAAAAAATGCAAATGTAGCACTGATCATTTCAAGAAATTCGCTATATAGAATGAAACGCTTGACAATGTGACGTATAAATTCGAATGTTATATCGTGTGTCATTTTGAAAGCGACTTAGACAAACACCAATATCCGTCGCCAACGATCAAGCTTCTTTATCGGAACAAATAAAGATCCGAGGGTAGGACAGTTCCATTATCCGAACTGACCAGTCCGCCGACGTGTTCGGATACCCGAGGTCCCGCTGCGCTCCGCTCGCACCCTTGAAAACGGCAACGCGCCCGGCTGATAACGCGTTTTGATCGACGTATCGTTCTGACTTCAGCTCGGAATCGGAGGGACGCGGCTCGAGCAGCGGCAGCACGTCACCGTCGGTCTCGGAGCGGCGATCGCTGCGCGGAACAAAGAGGCCCGATAAAGGCCGCGAGAGGAAGATAAAGCGGGTGTCGCCGCCGAGAGCCGCGCGGTCTAAAAATAAGGGGAGAGAAGACGCTGACACGACATCCTCGGCGACGGGATCCTCGCCGGCGAACAGATCCGCGGATCGGGATCGTGGTATCCCAGCCGCAGCGGCGAGGATCAGGCCTAGCGCCCACGAGGAGCACACCGTGCGCAAGAAACTTATTTCGTCCACGGAAATGCGTTAGCGAGGAACGAACGGATCGAGGGGAGGTACAGAAAGAAGAGCTGCCCAAAGGAGATCCGAGCGAAACGATCGACGGCCGTTCGGCCCGCTTCCCTGGATCCCGGAGAGACGTTCCGCGATCGTTCGCCGGGATTTATCGCTGCCTAAAAAAAGAATGAAAGCCGAAGCACGCTCGGGACAGCGGAGACTTCCAGGAGGAACAGCTGGCGAGCACGTCGGCCGGATTACGAACCGAAAACAGGTGTACTCTGTACAAACCTGTCACGGTTATCGCGGAGAAGCGTTACACGGCTGTTCACGGGGATCCGCGGGAAATCGATCGCTTCGGCTGTTAGCCCCCGAGTAACTCTGGATTAGATATTACAACGGTTTCATAGAATTGCTCGAGGAATATCGTCGAAAGTGACGTTCCCTCCAGTCTTCTAATTTCCGGACGCCCAACGTTTCCACCGTGCGATGCAGTACGTTTCCGTTTGAGACGCGATGCTCTAGAAGTGACGTAGCTTTCCACCCCTGGAGAACTGCAGTTTACGCTCTATGTCTTCTAAGCAATGGCGCAACGCCTTATCGCGAGTCTCCTGAAAAATGACGAGTTCCTTTGTCGTTCGTTCGAACTCGCGATGCGTGCACATCCACCGGCGAGGTTCGCGAGACTGCGAATGGTAGAAGAGACCGGCGTCGGTTTTACAGTTTCAGCGTGAAAAATAATGTCGTTCAGTTGGTGACGTAACGGTCAAAGTGTTAATGCGCCCGTTTTCTTTCTTCTTCCAACGGAAAAGTACTATGATGAAGGAACGCGCGTTCGATACCCCGGATCAGGGCGGCGCGAGCTGTGCTCCGCCGACGATAACGGCGAAATACTAATTGTAATGATTAGAGGTAAGCCGCGAGATCGAGGGAGACCCGGTCGTGGTGGGGGATCGTCGAATCTTTGCGTTGGTAATTCAAGATCGCGGACGCGTCGGAACAGTGCGATTCGAGGCATCGCGCGAAACGCATTGCCTTGCTGTCGAAAGTCTCTATATCTTGCGTCTCTTCAGGTTCCTTTTCATTTTTCATTCGTACACGCAGGTTTGTAGAAGCGTCAATCTTACACGAGTATCTCGTGGAATTCTTTTTGCCTTCTCGTTCCTTATCCGATAAGAATTTTCGTTTCGTAGATAGTATTCGAGTCGAGCAACATCGACGGGATTCCAAATTTTCGAAAGCGAAATAAAGTAGGTTCATTTAGTCCGAGCGAAAATAACAATTATTCTTTCTCTGCTCTGCGTTCGTTGGTACGCGATCATTATCACCTCCCTGTCACGGAGTAATACAACGTTTTTGCATATGATCGATGAAAGTCGATAACGGTGATACGAATTCACAACTTCGCGAGATACAATCGCTCGGTGAAACGTATCGTCTACACCTAGATCAAACGCTTTAATTCGCACCCTGAGATAGGAGTACAAAGAAACTTCCGAAATATTGAAAAATTATTATTAACACTACAACTACCAGATGGGTCAAAATCACCCATTCCTCACTTATTCTTTCGTAATAATTGAAAGCATATACATGCTTCTTAGAAAAATAATTAAAATACTTGATTTATCAATATACAAATTAAAATATAACTGACATCTTAATCAACGCACTGCTATGGTTTCTGTAGAAGAATATTTAAAAATCAACTGCTCGGTAGTTTTAGTGTTAACAATTACAATATCCATTTACATATCACTTTTCCCATAGATTTTTCACTAAAATTACCATATACCTTTCAATATTATACAAAATTTGACATCCAAAATACTATCTTCACAAATTCTTATTCGCAACTCCAAAAGCCGATAAAACATTTATATTCGCGAATCGACCGAAAGAAGACACTAAAGATCCATCTAATAACTTCACAATGTAAATAAAATCAAGCATATAATAAAACTCCGAAGCCCCTAAAAATTGATTTCTATTCTCGTCGTGAGAGCGCGCGAACCGCCGAGTCCCCTAAACCCACGCTCGACCGTCTCCGCGAGCGTTCGCCGCGGTCTCGGCCGCGGTCGCGTCGTCTCGGGTGGACTCGGCCGCGGTCGGCCGCATGGGCGCGCGTCCGGTCGGTTTACAAGTCGCAGGGGTCTCAGTCAACGAGCGTTCGCGTCCCAGTGCAGATCGGTCGCGGTGTAAAGTATTATCTTTTTGTCTCCGTATTGGTCCCTCCGCCACTCCGTCGATAGCGTAGCATGTGCCCACCAGTTCACAGTCGCGTGTACGTTTACCTGCCGCATCACCAGCCCCACAATAAACTCGTGTCGTACGGCTACCGTTAGGGTCGCCGGTCACACTGTTCCGTGCTGATACAATTTGTCCACCTCGCGTGCAAACCGCGTGTAACCCGCGTGTGGCCCGTTGTCGCGAAACCGTCTCGATCGGTGTACAGTGAATAGTATGATTTTTTTTTGGATATTCCAGTGAAATCGGTTCGGGATTGCCTGTATCGGGTGGGCGAGTTCGCACGTGGCACGAGAAGTGGTTGGTTAGTGTTCACGGGCGTCGCAACGTCGAGCCACGTATTCCTTCGATCCTATAATATATATATATATATAAATATATATATATATGTATATATATATGTATTTATATATAAGCGCGTGTATCGGCAGCTAGACGATCGGGACGAACGAGGCGGAGATCGAAGGAGGGTAACCCCAACAGCTTCTCTCCCGGTCACCGGACAAGAAGGGAAAAAAAGAGAATCGAGTGAACGGAACGGAAAGATCGGGGACAAGATACGAAATTGCGAGAGCAAACCGTCGAGAGGGACAGAGACCGCGCCGGGGAGGGGGAAAGGAGAGAAAAAGACAGATAGAAATCTCATTTCGACGAGCAACCAGCCACAGGCAAGATGAGCTGCTGCACGAGCGCGCCGATCGTAACCCAAACTTGCGAGACACTGCTGAGCAAGTGCGAGGTGCCGATCATCGACCTCGCTCACATGGGTGAGTGTTTTGTGTCACTTGGCAAATTTTTTTTTTCCCTCCTTTTCCCCATTCTCCTTTACTCGACGCTTTGTTAACGGTCCTCGAGGAGCATGCGCCCTTGTTCGTCGGCCCTTTATGTCATACAGGTACCTTAAGGTATCGTTTTCGTCCAGACTATAGATTGAATGAGTTGTAGAATAGTCTGGTAGCGTAGCTGGAATGTGAATTTCAAAAAGAAATTCGAAATGGTTAAGAAGAATTGAATAAATTGAATGTATTCAGGTTAACCCTCTATGGAAATTTGGTTTCGTGATTATAAGAACATTTATGCAGTGAAATTAATAAATATTAAAATATGAACACGAATTAACGATGTATTCAATAGCTTTAATGATTTTATTAGAATATATTTTGTAACTTTGAAGTTACAATTACGTTGATTATTTAATGTCACCCATAATTTTGCAATGAAAAATTAAATAAATCAATTCAACCTAGTATATTGACGTGACTTCAAAGTCATAAATAGGGGGTTAAAATTCAATTTCATCTCATTCAGTATACATGTAAATGGAGTACGTGAAGTTTCGCTCCGATAATTATAAGATATCTTATTCTTGTGCAGTTTCCAATGTTTGAAATGTAAATGATAGTACAACGCGGGAAACAGTTCGCAACGCGACGTGGGTTTAACTGTCAACCGCGAAACGATCGTGATACCGGTCAGAAGTCAACGTTACGAAATTTGTTACAATCAGATCGCGACGTTTGTCGAAACTGGACCGTGCACACGCGTACGAAACACACGCACACGTGGTGACGCAGATACGACAGCGTGTCGAAGTTAGATGAACGCTTGAATGGCTCAATATGATTCTGCGCGGAAAGTTCACGGTTACATTGCATCGCTGATCGGTACGCGGGGGGGAAAAAAAAGGTTGAATTTCAAATAACGAACGAGCAGCTCGCGGTCACGTCGGCGCGGTAAGTCGAACAGGTTTTTGTGACCGTTAAATGCCAACAGGATGAAATCGTGAACTTTGGCTTTATCGTAACGACCGAGTTCGCGCGTTAGTGAATTATTAGCGACGCTTTCTAAATATACGTGCGCGCGCGCGCGCGCATGCAAGCACGCGAGGGATCAAAAACCGTTGCTCTTTGCCGCGTATTTTTAACTTGCGCGGTTATCGCGTGGGAAACGTGATCCTATCCTTTTTGACCGAAGGGTGTTTTCATGTTCGTTTACATTTACCTTTCGTTTTTCTATGCGCACATCACATGGAATCAATACGTCCCGTGTCGCGTGCAGCGAATACGACCCACGCTGAATTTTCCGTTTAGACCGAAAATGAATTCTCATTGAAAAACGATGGACTTTTTAGAAATTTATTGTAGAGTCAAGTATAACCACCTTAATATCATGTATACCGCGTTTATTCGATTTTATTTCATTGCAAAAGCGACCTAATCAAGACCGAAAATGAATTCTCATTGAGAAACGAAGAGCTTTTTAGAAATTTATTGTAGAGTCAAGTGTAGGCACCTTAATATCGTACTGCGTTTATTTAATACAACTGACATGCAATCCCTATAAAAATTGTAACAATAGATTATTTTAACAATGGAATATTCTATGCTTTTAAGGTATCAACAATGACGAAACGAGAAATATGAAATTAGTCATTTGACTGGTACGGTAGTTCTAATGTTAATAATATTAAAGTTTACTGAAAGAAAACATTCCATGCTCTTTCTATGTCTAAATTTAGTATAAACCATACAAATTGCTAACAATGACAATAATGTTTCGTTTGAACTTAATACAACTTAATGACATTTATGTTTGTTAAATCATATTAAAAATCTTCGCAACGTGTCTGACACGATATTATAAAGCAAGGGGTTAACACGTTGATTGCCACGGTGATCACCGATGACCGGTGCTTCCAAATTGCCGAAGAACAATTACAATAAAAAAACTTGATTTTAAATAAAAATATTTAGTAACATAAGTAGCTAGATCATAGCGTAATATTAACGATTTAATATTGCAGTAGTCATTATTATTTTCAATATCATTTGCCTTTGTCATTAAAGAATAAGTACTACCATTCGAAACGCTAGAAATTCCCGTGGTAGTTAACGTGTTAACACGTCTCCTCAATTACACCTTCTTCAATCCAATAAATCTAAACAAAATGTTAGAAAAATGAAACTGAACCGAGTCATTGAGTTCCTAAATATAATGTCGTAGTTTATCATTTCTAATAACGATATCTATAGGATTCATGTCATTTTCATTATGTAAAATATAGGATTACTACCGTCACAAGTATGTGAGGCTGGTAGCGAACGTGTTAACCCTCTATGAGCCGAATTTTGTTTCGTGATAACAAAATTTACGCAGTATGAAATTAATAAACATCAACACATACACGCGAATTAAAAATGTACTCAATAGTTTTAATAGTTTTATTAAAACGAATATATTTTGTAACTTCGAAGTTACAATGTTGAATGTAAACGCCTGCGTGTATAAGAGTTTTAGTTGATTAATCGTGTAATGTGATTCGTCATTTTGCAATGAAAAATTAAATAAATCAATTCAACCCAGTCTATTGATGTGTGACTTCAAAGTCACACGGGCTTATAGAGGGTTAACCGTTTGAGTGCTGAGGAACGCTATAGCACTCTTGTGCTGTGCCAAAATTGCGGAGAGCGCGACAGCGCTTCCGTTTATCAGTATCAATTATAATTTTCTTACTATGTTTCTCAAGAAATAAATCAAAATAAATTTATTTGAATAAATGTTATTTTTTGATATATTTTGTAATAACAGAATATTTGTGATCTAATTAGTCAACTGCTCTTATTAATTTTTTTGCACACACACCAAATCACTTCCTCATTTTTGGTAAATACCCACAAAAGTAGTTTAACATTCAAACGGTTAAGGATCGATAGTTCTCGAATATCGTAGAAGAGGATTTTCGATCCGCCGATTGAGAACATATGAACCACGATCCGAACTGTGACGGAATTTTAAAGATCGAGAGGGTGACGCTGTTGCGGTTGCTTGGCAACGAGGCCAGGCAACTGGCCAGACAGACACGCAGACCAGCGGCAACAAGCTTCGTTTCACAGTCGGAGGCGCCTACCTCAGGCCCGGCGATCCGTTGAGGTCAGAGCCCGTCTCTCACAAAGAAGGGCCCCTCCCTTAGGCGCCCTACTCGATTTACGTAGGACAGTGATCGTCAACCGTGGAATAAAAAAGGAACGTGACATTTGTCGAACCGATTCGAACATGTTTTTAGCAATGCGGCTTGCGCAAATTGCAGTCCCCCACTCTTTCGGATGATCCAAGTGTCAATCTATTTCTTCCCATTCTTATTTTAATTAATTAATGGTAATTGCGCAAGGAGGATCGTGTATACGTATAGACTGTTGTCCGGAAGAAACGATTCGAATTAGAAAACGTGTTAACACGTTGCGTACCGGTAACGAGGGATCTCGTTTTTATATAAAGACACTTAGCTATGCAATTTCGCTAATTACCACAGTATTGAACAAATATAAAATTTAATTTGATTATCTATTTAAAATGTATTACATAAAAATATGATATCTGAGTTTTTCTATGGATATTATCCGCACAATTCAGTTTTCTAAAAATTAACCGGTACGCAATGTGTTAACACGTTGACTGCCACGGTGGTCACCGATGACCGGAGCTTTTAAATTACTCGAAAAGAATTACAATTCGTAAGATAACTGGCGTCGAACGGAAATCTTTAACTGGACCATAGTGTAACATCATAATTGTGTACCAAATAATTGATAATTATTCCTTTTTATTTCTGCTTCAAAAGAATAAGCGATACATAAAACGCTGACGTTTTCCGTGGCAGTCAACGTGTTAACACAGTCGAGAGAGACCGGATCAACTTTCTTTTATGCTATTCAAATAACGTGCGATTGCAGTTTAGACACGCGATATATGTTTATTTATCATTCCCGTTTGTCGGCGGTGAAACACGGTGAATTTCGATAGAAACCCGCTTAATAAAAACGTAAATAGAAGCCAATCCCCGAGGAGTTGAAATACTCGCTGATCAAGATGGCACGCAGCACGCACGCGCGCGCGCAAACAAACCGGCGGATCGCTAATATTGATAAAACACACTGACGCGCGTGCAACGATCTTGTTGTGCAACATAATATTGACGATTTTCGGCTTGCAAATAGTGTACATTGCGCGGGAGGCCCATTTGACTAGCACGGTAGCGAACACTGATGCTCTTGAAGTCATCGATTTCGAGCGGTGTAACTGAGACCTACCGAGCCAATCGAAAATTTGATTTTTATTCACTTACAGGGCACCGAAAATCAGAATTGGAAAGAATATTTTATTCTATGTCTTCAGCACTGGAATTGTCAAGCACTCGATACGATTAACATGTAATATCTATAAAAATTGTAACAAATTACTTTCTGTTTCTTTGTCATAGTGTTCCGGTAAAACTATTTTCAAAATCATTTCGAAAATTCAATGCGTCGAAGGTGTCAATAATTGTGGAACAAAAAAGCAACCGATCATGTTGACTGACAGGGTATTGTTAACCTTTCGCACTAGAAAGTTTCTCACTAGAAATCCTCAATGTTTTCTGATGAGACATAGACAACATGTTTGAAACTTATCGAGAAATAACGCATAAACTGAGAAACGAAGATATTTTATTCAATATTCAACCCTTTGCACTCGGAAGCTTTTCACTAGAATCATTCGACACTTTCCGATGAAACATGAACATTATTTGAAACGAACTAATAAGAAAGCGTACGTAAATGAAGAAACAAAGCTATTTTATAGAAATATGTAACGTATTGACGCACTGTACGAAACTTAAACCCTTTGCACTCGGAAGTTTTTCACTAGAAATATTTGAATATTTTCTGATGAGATAAATACGATATTTCGAGAAATCGTACGTAAATTAAGAAACAAAGCTGCTTCATTT